TTTCTTGCAGTTAAATCCAAAACCACTTACTGTATTTTCTTAAACATTTAAAACAATCCTTCAAAAAGCTGTTTTAAATCCATCTAGCCTCTTAGCTGTCCCTAGTCAGCATTCTTAATTCCCTTTTGCTGTTTCCAAACATTAAAATATTTCTTTTTGATCTTTACATTTACTTTAGTCTTCTTTCTCCCAGGGTCGAAGGAAATTCTCCCAGTGTACAGCCACTTGCCATTCAGAAGGTTTTTAATTGCCAAGTAAATCACGAATAGACAATTTTTGATGTTAATTAAAAGAGGAAGTAAAAGCAAATCTAGTGTCCTTTTGAAGGCTCTGCACCATGGCTTGGGCTCAATGTTTCTCCCTCAACTCCCAGAGCACTCTACCTGGTGGAGATTGCTAGATTGCAATCTCTTCACAGGGAGCCTCTGTAAGGAGTGACTGTGGGTGATTCTGTATCTACCTCCTTTATCTGGAGATGATTCTGAAGAGCTGAACCGATTGCCAGTTCCTCTAATTGCTGTGGGCATTAGCTCCATATGAAAAGGGAGCCATATTCAATCCATTATGTTCCCCGGAAGTGTTTTCCTGAAAACCTTTATAGTAGTATCAGACACATTAAAAAAAAAAAATTTAGAGGACACAGTTCCCACTAATAAATTTGCATAACTCAGAACAGTTAACAGCAACTCAAAACAACAGCTTGGAGCTTACAAGAAGTTCTAAGCAAAGTAGCTGTAGGCCTTGCCACCTGAATTTCTTGAAGAGAACACCATTAGTATGTGCACTGAGGGAGGTGGCTGGAGGATACTTTGCCCAGAGACACCTAAACCTGGTCTGAGATCTAAGCTACTTATACATGAAGATAATGTTCCATTGTTTATCTCTATGTTGTGATTATTCAAAGTTATGGATACTAATAGAAATACTGCTGAGAGACATGAACCTTAGAATGCATGAGTCAGGCCAAAACAAAAATTAAACTTGATATTATCTATTTATATTTATAAATAATTAAAACAAATATAAATATAATTCCTTCCCAATCATATATTTAATAATTTTCCCTTTATGTCCATTAAAATGTATAATTCAACAGAAATTTATCGAGTCTCTGGATGCTACACTTAGAGGATGCATGTGCTCCTGGAGTCTTAAATTTTGCGTTTCTGTCTGAACTAAATCGTATTATTCATCAAATATGTCTCCAATACACTTGTCATTATCTATCATATCAAAAAGAATAATTAAATGTTGCACTATACCTTAGTCTGAAAAGTGCAGTAAAGATGTGTAAGAAATGGGTTTTCCCACGCAAGCGCTAAGACCCGCTTTTCCACCATGGTACACTCCACATCATCATCAATAAGTACCACATCTTTTTTCAAAGCTTTTACTGCAAAAAATTCATTCTTCCCCTTAAGCTCAGCAAGTAGTACCTGTGAGATGAAAGATACATATAGTGTAGCTGGATGTAGGAGCTTTTCCAAATGTTAAATTCCTGAAATTGTCCTTTTGTTATGCTGCCAGGATTATCCAGTCCTTGAGTGATCATTGTAGTCTATAACCACCAACTAGGTGGCAGCACGAAACTGATTCTCTCTGATTTCAGAAAGCTAAGCAGGATGTTCAACTGGAGATCCCCAATAAATCCCAGGGCTGCAGGATAGATTGAGAATTGAAAAAATACCTTGGAACAAGGCAACAACAATTACTTCAGTATTGTTGCCAAAATAATTACATGAACATGTCTAGATAGTCATCAGGAGTTGAGCTCAATTTAAAGTACTCTTTATTTTTATGTGGTCTATTGACTCTGGCTGTCTGGTCCAAACAACTAGGGACAACATGTCAAAAATCCCTTTGCCCTGTGAGGTTCATGGGCAAGACGACAGGCATTCTTTATGGTTTCTCTCCATGCTTTAGAACACATTCCTCCCCTTAGTGCCAAATTCTTGTACATTCAAAAATAAAATTCTCAGAAAGGCTTCTCTAACCAGATTTATTAAAAGAAAAAAGATTGGAAGATTAGCTTACAGAAATCTAGACAACTGAATACTTTCAGCTTTAGGACCCAATTTATTCTTGAGTTTTCTGGGGTGGAGTTTTCTTCGTTCTTTTAATAATCAAATGAAGACTTTAATGAACACGATTGCTAGCTAGCTATTTTCCAGACTATGGAGAAACATACAGATGTTCTGAACTCGCAGTGTTTTCCAAATTGCCCTCCTCTTTCTCAAGCACTGAGAAATCCACACCTTCCCTCCCTATGTTCTACAAGATGTTTAAAACCATTTTATTCTACTGTGTCTTTGGATCTGATTGATTCTGGGCAACCATTACAGTTAGATTTATTTATTTTTGTATTTTGTTATTGCCATTGTTCTGTTCTGTTTTTTTTAAACTGCTCTTTCTTATAAACTACGTATAGACTCCATGGATTGGGGTGGGCAACAAATATTATGAAAAAATTAGTCATTTTTGAAAAAGAAAAAAGAAGCAAAGACTCTTGTGGCATTTTGATACCTAAGAATTATTGTAGCCTCAGCTGTTATTTATTATCATTCTTTAAAATATTTCTATCACTGTCTGTCATATAATAAATCCCTGACCACTGCACAAAACATAAAAAATATACTATGTTTTATTGTATTTGTAGTATATAGTACAATAAAGGAAATAAAATAGTGTAACAATGGCCATAAGTAATTTATTTGCAGGCCATCGCAAATGCTTCAACGAATAAAGACATTTCAGCAAGCCTCAAAATTGCAGAATGTGTATTTAGGGTTTATGTCTAAGGAGAGATCATTTCAAAGCAACACAACAGAAAAGTCTTTCTTCCTAGTTGATGGGTTAAAAACAGAATTTTCTCAGATGTGTGAAATTCTATCCAATTGGACAAAAGTAATGAAATGGAAAAGTCTTAGAAATTTGTAATTTTTCTTTGAAAAATGAAGTAAAATTTTAAAAAGGAAGTAAAAGCATGAAGTAAAACATCTGCTTCAAGTCAGAGGTGATATCTCAAATTATTGTATAGTAGTTAAATACCAGCACTTTGAAAGAAATTCCTTGTTCTGATTGAACAGAGTCATATTTGCTAAAATTCTAGTTTGGCAAATTCATACTAGAGACTTTCAACTGAAACTTGGATTGGAAAGTTTTGGGAGATTAATACATGTTCCTACTGCTTCTGATTGCTGCTTTTTTATGTACACAAGATTGATCAGTTCTACCACTGACCAATTTCAAATATGCCATAGCACCAGTGGTTTACAGTCTATACACTCATAAAAATAAAGATAAAAGAATTGTATTCACATTATAACCCCATTTAAATAGACATATGCATATGTAAATATATTAAATCAATATACCAAAATATTTTGTATTAAAATAAATAGAAAGCTAGTAATTAAAAATTCTATGTAGAAAATAGATACTTTAAAAATAAACTTACCTTTCCAAAGCTTCCTTTTCCAAGGACCTTATGGAATATAAAACTATCTATGTTGAACTTCCTCCTACTGGATAGTCGTGAGGGTGACCTTCCCTCCCACAGTTTATCATATTCATTATTATCTGCAAAGACAAAATGAATAATTTACTATTTAATTTAAATATTTTATAGAGTACATACAGGTCATAAGCCATTCTGTGTAGCTTCTGCTATTACTAACATGTGTATGTGTATGGGAATTCTTGAAATTGTAATTATGGAGTGATAAAATTTCAGAAACATCCTGTACACCCATGGAGTATATGAGTCCTGAACCAGTTACTTACTGAAGTTTAGTGAGCTGAGCATTTTTATCTGAACTGTCAAAGTGTAAGAGGTGAAGAAGTATGAGATTTGATCCTCTTTTAACACCATGAGAGGGAGGAACAATTTTACCTAGATTTTATTTTATTATGCCATCCTTCTGTTTATATAACATGTAGTAATTGCAACGATACAAGCACCCTAGCAAAAGCACTATCCACAAGAATAAAGAACACATAAAGCCATCAACTCAGTCTATACCAGCTTCTTCTCTCATCCTCTAACCCAGCACCCTTCAGATTTTTCAGCCTGTACAGCAAAACTCCTTTGCAAATAAAAACGGTGTTTGTGTAGTGCCAACATGACAGAAGAGATGGCACCCAATTCCAGAAAGGCTAGTTTCAGATGGCAAAGGGGGATCTCTGATGAGAAGGTGGGATTTGAAGTCCGAAGCCAAATGTGATGTTCTAAGAAAGGAGATTCTTCCAATTCTTTATCCAACCCCACAAGACTCCAATTAAACTGACTAGCCCTTGGCATAGATCTCTTACAAAGCCATACTAATTCTTGGATAGAAGTGCAGCACAATCTATTTGTAAAGGCATTAAACCAAAATCAATTCGAGTTTAAAAACACAGCAATTGAACTGATCTGTTCTGATACAGAACATTTATGAAAAAAAAATTGTTGGCTTTCCATATACTTATGAAATTATTTTTAAATAAAATATTCACATGGTACAATTTCAAAGTGGATTATAATGAAACATTTTTTAAAATTCTACAAATATTGGTTGTACTCTTGTACTGAATTTATTATATATATTTAAATATTTCTGAACTGCCTGTCATGCTATGCACCTCCAGGGAGTGAATAACATTAAAATATAAAATATACAATGTAAAACACAATACAACATATAAACCAGAGGCCATGACTAGTGGAGTTGTACCCTTGGAAGATGTCAATTGTCAAATTGAATTAAAATGTTTTATCTCTACTGGAAGTTAATTTCACTGAGTACATGCCTGAGCAGAAAAGGCCATTCTGGTTGATGCCAAATGAATATCTACTAGAAGGGGCAATTCAAAATGAAAAGAAACAGAATTCCTTTTTACCTGTCATATCTACACCAAAGGCTTTAGGTTTCTTGTCAAAATCCTGGTAAATTCCAACACTTTCTGCTGACCCTGAATCAGATTTTCTAGTAGACTTCTGAAAAGAAACAAATATATACTCCAATTATTTTGGCACTAACATAAGTGATTATTTTTCATATAGTTATGGCCAAATTCTTTAAACAAGTATTGGTACAGACATTAGCAAGTTAAGGGAAGCTTTCACTTTTCAATATAAGGAAGCGTGGATCTCTTATCTTTATGAAATAATAATGGGGGATTTTAAAAGCTACTGCATTTATTTTCATAGTTTAACAGACTCCACAAATTTCTTTAGCATAACACTTTCTATGAAAGCACAACAGTACTTTCTATGAGCTAGGAAGAGTGAATTCTCTGTACATACAAGCTGTGCTTATTGCACGAGGTTTTTTGGGGGGGGGCGGGAATTATAATACGTGAATAAGGGCACTCATATTAAATATTATAGAGGCAATTATTTACGGATTTCAGAAGAGATTCACAGTACATAAGGTGGCAGTTTTTAAAATTCATTATTGCTAAAGCCTCAACTGATCTATATATTTTTCATATAGTCTCCTTTATAAAATTCTTAATTTGTTTTTTTCTTCCTTTCTCCCTCTTCCTGATTTTCAGTTATTTGGATCCTATCTTTCATCACTTAAGGCATCGGGTTGCTTCAAGTAATGTTTGTGTCCTTTTTCTGCTGGTCTCAGTTCCTTCCAAAATTCACTCTTGAACACAAAACAACTGTAGAGCATGTGATAGTGGGGGCTGCAAAGGGAAGGGAACATTACTGAAAATTGGAGGGTCTCTTTAGCATGAACAGAAGTGCTCAGCCACATTTGGATCTAACAACGTTTTTACAACATTTTCTGAAGGAAATCCAGAAGATGTATACAAAAACAAATCAGTGGTCCTTTGTGAGGGTCATATTTTCAAATTTAGATATTATAAATTATTAATACTTTTTCCTGTTAAACCTGAACACTTCTTCCTATTCATATGACAATGGATTGCACTTTCTGACAATAGCTACAAGTTGGTTCGATCTACATAGGTTTTCATGAAAGCAGCAAGGTTTCCAAATTGAAAGGTGGAAATCAAGCTCAGCAAAATAAATTTAAGTTTTGCACTGAGTTCAGCTAGGTAACAGTGACTTTCTGATACTACATTCCCAATCCTCAAGTCATGATCTAAAGATTTTAGAATAAGCTCAGTTCTTATATGATTCTTCATTTTGACTTTTCGTGCTTTAATGAGCTAATTCAAATAACAGTTTGCTGCTTTGGATACAATGGCGAATTGGGATTTGATCGAATCATGTAATGTCTGTAAGCTCAGCTGAGGAGGGAAGGAAAAGGACAAAGGATTAGCATAAAGCACAAATTTATTCTTATTTCTCAACATGATTATCACTTATCAAGTGATAATTTAGATAACTTAGAATAGGAAACAAATGAATAGATAACGTAGTTATGAGCAAAATCTTACCACAATTCTGCAATTCACCTAAAACTGGAAGTGTTTTTTTTTTAAATCATCATCATTATTATTATTACTTAGGAAGGTAATACAAACATTAAGGCTAACATGTAGCTACATTTATAGTAATTATTTTGAAAATATTAATTGGTTTCATTGATAGATTTGAGTGTATATGTGAGGGAAGAGTCAAATAATTAACAAGACATACCTGACTAACTTGATTTAAAGCTTCTGCCAATAATTTCTGATTGATTCCACATAGATTTGCCACTTTCTTTTGACATTTATGGTGCACATTCATTCCACACTCTAAAGAAATCAAGGTATTATTGATATAAGTAATAGGCAACTTGTAAGTATAATCAACAAATCTAGTACTTTTACCAGTGCTAAACTGGGGGTGACTAGCCTGTTGTGTTCTCTAACTGAACCAAAATATACAGTTTAATCTTTCTGTTTCTTCAGTGTAAAACGAAGAAATTTGCATTTGCCGACAGAAAAAAACCCCCACTAAAGCTTTTGGTTTTGAGATCATTTATCTGTTTTTGGTTGTAAATACTGTTGCAAGCTGTCTAGTCTAATAAAATCATATGCAGATTTTCCAGAAAATGTATTTATTTATTTGATTTGTATCCTGCTTTTCATAGAAGACCTTTTATGTTGCTTTCTATTTTAAGCCATTAATGAATGAAAATAAAGACTGTACCTTCACATTTTAATCCTTGTTTAACTATTCCCCAGAGAAGACTACCACAGTGATCGCAGAAAGTAGGGCTCATGTAATTATAAACTTTGAACCTGTGAGGCATATCGATATGAAAGCGCTCCTTCTGAAACTGAAAATACATTTATATTAGAACAAAAGTTAAATAACTATCCATTTCCTCTCATAATCACAAAGTTTCACTAATGTCAAATTCAGGTTAACAATTATGTAACTGTTGAAAAACTGAAATAGTTTTATCACAGTCAGATATCCAGAAGTCTCTTATTTATTTGAAAATACAGTCTATAATTCTGACACGAACAACACATTTAACAAAACATTTCAAATACTGTTCTGTCCACCAAGCTATGATAAAATTCTTTTCAAGATTAAACTTTTGTATGTTTAATCCTTTTGAAATAAACAATTTACTTCAGTGAGTTTTTAGAGTTGTGCGTCTTTGAAAATATGGGGCACCAATTCAGCATCCTAAAAATCACAATTTAACCTATTTCCGTAGGGCAGGTTGTGGGGAAGTAGACTATGTCAGCAAATAAGCAATACGTCTGCCCATTTCCACAGAGGTTAAAAAATGTTTGCAGAATATTGGCTCAATATCAGGGAAACAGAATTTGGCATTCTGAATGTAAAATATGCATATCTTTCTTTAATAAATAATCTTAAGAATATTCTATCCACTTGTTGCTACTTGGATTTAGGTTTGCAGTAAAGGGTTATTGGAAGACCTAAATCCAAGTAGCAACAAATAGATAGAACATTCTTGAGAATGCAATGGTACTTAATATCATATGTGTTCTTGCATTGTCTTTCATGTATTTTCTTTTTTGGGCAAGGTGACTTTTTAAAAAAAAATCCAGACCTTTAATTAACATTTTAATCTGTTTTTTTGTGGTCTGTGATCTTTGCTAAAATAATACTTGGTTAATAGTCTCATTATTAAATTGCTTAGAAATACTTTAAAAGTCTTTTTGTCATGGCATGTTACATTTTCTGGGAAATAAATTTAGAGAATTGCATTCAGTATTTTGCCCAGGTTTTTGCCTATTTCAAACAGAGCCAAAATGAGTGACTTGACAATCATGGTTTGTTCATTGTGTTTTTTTCATTCAAGGAGCAGTCATTGATCAATCTTTCCACATAATGCCAAGATTCTATGAAAACTCTACATTCTTCATACGATATAATTCAGGGTGCTGCTGAACTACAGGAGCAATGAGGTCTTGAGCTAAACTAAAGGTCAGAGGTCATCCATTTTAAAAATTCTGTTGCTGGATCACAGGGACCGGCCAGTGTTTCCAAAACAGGATCCACCCAGTCTCAATCAGCACTTTCTTGACATTGGTCAGACCAGGGTATGCATGAGTCCTCCCCCTCAAGGTCTGCAAATGGAACGCAGAGTCTCCTGGAAATTTCTTTGAGGGCTTCTGTATAATCTCTTATGAGCTCCATCTCATGTCCAGTATGTGAGAAAAATTCAGAAGGGGGCATTTTAAGTTATTGTAATTTGTTAGGCTCTTAATGAAAGGGTTTCCTCCAAAGGATACAGAAAATGAGTCACACTGTTTTGTCTCTGCTCTACAGAGCCTCTTTATTTTTCTTTTTTTTCTTTGATAACTTAGTTGTATGAAATAAAATGTTAAACAAAAGACAGCTATAAGCAAGCTAAACATGTGCAAATATAAACTCAGAGGTTTTTTAAAGCTGATTTTCTTTTTTCGTCAAAGAATACATATTACTAAATATGTAAGTTATTGTATTACTTACCATTGTATCTCTACTGTTTGCTGCAGTTCCAGTACATCTCCCAATGATTTTATCAATGCACTTTTTGTGAATAGCAGCATTACATTCTTCAAAACAACAGTAACAAAAGGTGCAAAAAATTAAATTTCATCTTTTGGGAACAAATCAGTGAAATTTAACAACCCCAGAAATTATAATTGACACTTTAAATCAACATTGCTGTGACAGAGAACAGCAAATTATACTAATTTTCCCCATTTCTTTTAGTTTCTGTATTATAATTTTGTTTACTTTGGTGGTAATAATAATTTTATTAGGTTTTATCATGTAGAATAAGCTTAATTTTCAGATATACCATAACCTTTTATTGTTTGCTTCAATAAACTATTGTGAATATATCTCTGTAATTGCTAAAATTATAGACACAGCATATAAATACTTATTAGCTATTGCTCTTGAGCAAAACTGAAATTAATGACTGAAATTATTCACTGACCCCAAAATAAAAACTGATAAGCCAACTTACGTCTACATTTGTATCCTTGCTTATTTAGGCCCCTATAAAAGAAATGGAGGGAAAAGAACTGTGAATAGAAAAAAACATCCTCACATTTAAGTGGCAGAGACTAGTTGATTAGCCAGGACCATGTTTACAAAGCTTCCTTCTTCCCAATGCATTCTTGCATATACTTTCCTCTAGAGGAGCAACAGATCTCTTTTGAAGTGACATGACTTCAACTGCTAATTTCACAACTGTCCTGGATCAGGACAACTATCTCAGACGACAGAGGCTCCAGTTCAGTGGATGATGGTAAACTAAGCCCACACTGAAATAAATGGTAAAAGTGAATTTTTAGTCCCAAATGGGAGCACAAAGGATAATTACTGCCCAGTGTTCACTCTTCTTAATTGCTGTTGCTTATCCAAAGGTATTTTAACCCAGGAAACTATTACAAAGCTAGAGAAGAGTACTAATTTTAGAACACTCAGGTAACTTTTACCAAAAGCAGCTTGAAACTGCCAAAATGTCCCTCAGCTTTCATTATTATTAGTGACATTTTAGAGCCATTTTGAAATACGATTTCAGATAAATCTGAAACTGATTCTTGACAAGAATAAGAATGTGGTAATAAGAAAGGAAACAATTATAATTGTGGACCCTGTAGTACTGTTGAGTATGCTATTAATTTTAGTATCTCAAAGTGGCCAGGAACATTTCTGCACTTCCATTAAACTGGAAACCGCTGAGCCTGCTCCTGGTATCGCAGAACTCATTTCCATGGAAGAGGGAGACAGAGTCATTATAAGGATCCATTAAATCTGATCAGGTTCTTTTTAAAGGGGAGAAATCTGTCAGGGTCATTATGTGTGGTAACCATGACTTTAATACACCATTAGTTAATTTCCCTGTTAACTAATTCCTATTAACCATCAGGTAAGCTGATAAAACTTCTTAGGGCTTTCTAAAAGCAGAGTGAAATTCTCTGAAGAAAAATAAGTTTATAATAAGAATCCTCACATTCAATCTCACAATGAAAGAAAAACTGGAAATTCTTCAGGGCTAGACCTATATACATAAAAATATACATCTAAAAAGCAGAGTTATTTTCCTTACCAGACAAAATCTTTGCAGACAGAGCAAAATGTAGGTTGTCCAAAAAAAGTGGCAATAAACTCATGATTTTTAATATAGTGGATCTTTGCCTGTTTGATTGCTCCTCTTCTATTTATAGTCACAGTTCCTTCATCTTCTCTTATTGATTGCAAACTATCTGCAAGTAAAGAAATAAAACGTAAGTGAAGTTATAGAAAGTGTGGTTCTTCACTTGATTGTATGTGCTTAATTGTCACCAAGCATTTATTTATTTAACAAATTCATATAGTAAATTTATATGCAATATAAAAGTGTAAGAAAATCCTATGCGCTTGTTCCTTCATCAGGAAGTGAGTTCTTTCAAGCACTGTTTTAGCAATGTTATATTGCCCAACCAAAATTCATTGCCTGCTTTAAAATTCTTGATCAGATAATAAATATACTAGCCATAACTGCAATGCTGGAAAAGAGGCACTACACCCTAATATTTCTGACCATCAAAGGTCAAGATCAATAATTTTATGGTATACAGAATATTGAGACTGAGTATGCAGTTATTTAACAAAGGCTTCTTCACTTAGTGTCCTCTAGATATGACAGCATTCCCAGAATTTTCAGCCAGGCAGCAGAACAGTGATTGTTTGTCTGTCCGTCCATCCATCCATCTTCTATTTTTCATTAACAGAAATGGTTTCCAAGCTATAGAAGGGAGTCAAATTATTTTATTTGTGAGCTGAATTTCAGAGAAATTGGAACAATATGTGGAAGATAGAATGAAAAAAAATATGAATGAGAGAAATGCTGTGAGAAACAAAATGTATTGTCTTCTCACAGATACTATCTGGAAATACAGCAAAGTTTCATGTGAATAATAGAGGGCAGATATTTATGCTAATAGTCATAAATCTATATTTTAAATTATTTTAGCTAATTTGATGTCATTCAGGAATTCTGTATCTCATCCATTGATTCCTCTGTTCCAGTTCATAGAGAAATTCTTCTTCGTTCACCTGTGAAAGCTACATCTCTTTCATTTTTCTGGAGAAACCAGAAATGAATAAAAGTCTCATGCAGAAGTTCCATAAAATATCATCTAAAAATAATCCAGAACATTAGACAACTTATTTTTCTCTCTGTTATCCTTGTCCTTTGTTTTTTTATTAAAAATATCATGTACATACTTATTAAAGATTCAGTAATATTAAACCTTACATGATTTATTAGCAGCAGATTCAAGAAACAATTTTGAAAAAGAAAACAGAATTTAATGTGCATCTGGTAATTCTACACATCACAGGGCCAGGACCATTGTTTTTAACAGATTAAAAGAGTAAACTGCCTTAAAACAAACCATTATTTATTTATTTAACACAATTTACAGCCACGCAAATTCTGACAGACTCTGGCCAGCACAGAACATAAGACAGATAAATATACATAAGAAAGATATAAATCTAAGAAAGAAAGAAAGAAAGGATACAAAAAGAAACCATTCTAATCAGTATTCAATATTATCCTCTGATGTTATCCCCAGTGGCCTGGGCCAAAAGCATAACAGATTAGGACCGTTTCAACTTACTTATAGAAAGGAGGAGAGCTGATGTTCTGTGAACATGTAGGGGGAGCGTATTCCACAAAATGGGGTATGACAGAGAAGATCTCCCCTCTCATACACACCCAGCAGACCTTACAAATGGCAGGCCCTCTTTCAGTGACTGGACCAGTTGGGCAGATCTGACTAGCAAAGCACTGTCTGATATATCCTACTACTGTCCTGTGGGATAGATCTTTAAAGGTAAGGAGCAGCCCTTTGAATTGAACCTGGAAGTCTTATGGTAGCCAGGGCAGCTACCTTTAAAATAGGCGACTTTAAAATAAAATCCTACCCTGGTAGGATTTTCCAGTCTCACCAATGCATTTTGCACCATTTGCCACTTCCAAAGGCAGCCCTACATACAATGGATTACTGTAGTCCAGCCCAGTAGTAATCAGGGCATGAGTCACTGTTGCAAGAAAGACATATAGTTATCTCTTGAACATACACAAAAATCGGTTAGTACTGAGGCTATGTGGTTCAATCCTATGGTTTACTGAAATGACACTGATTTAAATTATGGTTATCAGTAAGTTGGACAGCTTTATAAATCTGATCTAGAAATAAATGAATAAATCCTCTAGTAGCATGCATGAGATCCTATACTATTTACTGAGATACTAGTAAGATTCAAACTAGTAAGTAGGCTCAAAAGTCTTCAATGTAAGAAACTGCTTTTAAATAATATTCTTGTAGAGCATGATAAATAACTCAGAGAAATTTTGGGTGCATGATTTATCTTCCCATTTACGAGCTGTTTTACCTAATTAGTTGATCATAGCTTGAAGTCCAGATCCAGATTAGCTTATCCTTTGCATAGGAGAAGGCATGGTATTTACTTATTTATACAATTTGCATTCTGCCCTTCATTCAGGAGCTCAAGCAGCATAAACAGCTTTCCTTATTTTTTGCTACACGACTAAGCCATCAGGTAGGTTGAGCTAAGACAGTAACTGGCCCAAAGTCATTCAGTGAGCTTCCATAATAGAGAGTGGGCTTGAACATGGGCCTCCCAGCTCCTAGTCCGTTACCTTAACCTCTATACCACACTGGTACTCACAATGTCTTATATTTGGATAAAGAAGGATATCTCTCCTGAAGTCCATGTGGCTTCTACCCTGTTCCATAAAGCCTTGAAGACCTAGTTGTTCTCCCAGACCTTGGTTAAGACCGATGGAGCCTTGTTAGACATATTTTTGTCTATGTTTTTGTATAGAATGATGTGTTTTGTTTTGTATTGTGGCTTTATTGTTTATTATAGTGTGAGGAGCCCAGAGTAAGTTTGGAGTCAGGCAGCACCCAAACTGAATTAATTAAATAAATGAATATGAAACACATTTCATCAACAAGTATGATGAGTCTGCTGCGAGGTGAAGCCAATACAAGAGAATTTCTGTATCAGCTAAGAACTGTAGGACCATGGGGCATTACGTTTGTTGCTGCTTTATTTTAAGCAAAATTTGGTTGGCAAAGCTTAAAGAGCAAGAGGGGAATGGAAAAATGTGCTTTCAAACAACATGGTCTGCATTGGCTTCTTTACTCCTCTGCCCATCATCTTTTTATGTTCACACATATTCAGGTCTCTTTGGTTACAACTAATCTATTCTAAGAGATTTTACCAGGGGGAGGGAAATTGAAATAATGGTTAAGTTTCAAAAGAGGAGAGCAATCCTTTTCCTAACTTCCTTAATCTTCCAACAAAAGTGTAATTTTCTTTTGTGGAAAATAAGAAGTTGGAATAACCCCAGCTTGATTAGTCTTATGTTAAAAAAAAGTTTCACTCCTTCAAAACCATTGTTGTATGTATGCATTACTCATCTTCAGTGCTGTCTTTCAAAGTGAATGAACAGCTGCATTTTCTGGGCCTTGAAGTCTGAAGGACTGAAACAGCATGCTAAGCAGCTAAGCAGTGGAAAATTATTCTAATGGCTCAGATTGTGACCCAGAGTAATGCATTTGCCACTGAAATTTTGAAATTTGGTAAATGTGTTTAGAACTAGGATGAAAGCCAAACTGTTACACTATAATAATCTAGATGATACAAAATAATGTGCTTTAGTCATACATTTTGGAAAAAAACACAAGAATGGTGAATATGGGGATAGATTTCCAACTGTACTAGATAAATCCTATGAAAGGGCTTTAATCATTGCTCATTGTCACAATCCCAGTTTGGACTGGTTTTATGTACTTGCTGTTTAAATCACCACAAAGTAATCTACTGAAACAAGAGGAATAAGGAATAAAAATTAAAAGCCCACTCATTCCCCCTTGCACTACACTTACATTAGAGTCCTAATTTGATCAGGTCCCCCCACAATTACTTTAGAACAGAAAGGAAATAAGATACTTCTGGCATATTTCAAGTAACTAGCTTTAGCCATATTGAGAAGCATTCCATCCAAGATACAACATACAGTATAACATGTTTATGGGCTGAACAAGGAGAGATCAGCTGGGAAAGCTGTTACTGCAGCTCCAAATCAGACTGGCTGCTACCTTGAGATGCTCTATCTCTATGCAAAACATGCAGTGTATTTTGTTGTATCCTGTTCTCCTTCCTCAAGCCAATTATTGTGGTAAGGGAATCAAGGCCAAACATTCTTCCCAAGCACTTACCTGGGGCTTCTAGGGTCATAACACTCTACCACAAAGATTTTCATTAAGTGAAGGCAGTGAAGGAACGATGAAGCAGTATCAGCATCTTTGTGTCTGCTTTCCAGAAGGTCTGTTTAATCATGGCCAATGAGAAGTAAGGGAAGAGAGGGAGAACTGGTTGTCTTAGCATGGGAAATGAGTGCTTGTACTAGAGAAGCTGAATCTTGAAGCAAACAGGACATCCTCTTTTTGAATAGAGGCTGCTAAAAACAGGGAAAAGCGAGGCACATTTGTTCTGCATTGGGGCTTCAGCATTTTCAATCAGTCAAAGTTGGAAAATAGGCTGAAGTGAAGCACCTCACTTAGCCCTTCTTTTGATAGGACTTCCATGCAGGGGAGGGGTTGGACCTGTCTTGGTGGGCTCCCAAATTATGCTCAAGAATGCCCTGTTGCAGTTTAAAGTGTCAAAAAGGAAAGGTGATTTCCAGTATGCACCCCCAGTTTTTCTGCCACAGCACTGACACATGTTTATTGTGATTAAAGAACAAACGAATCAGAAAAAATAACTGAATGCCAGCAGTATAAGTATTATAGTTAAAAATATGAAATTCAAGCATCAATTATTTATGGATGTTAGCTGCTGCTGTAGAAAACCTGGTTAGACTGACTGAAGCTATCTAAGAGGAGAAGGCTGATATAAAATTCATCAGAGCAACATGGAGTATGTAGTAACAAAGGTTTTTTTTTTTCAGCTGTCATTTTTCAACACATGAAGAATCAATTCTACAGCAGGGACAAATTCAACAGGATATAAGGACTTTTCATCTGTCAAACTTTTCATATGGAACTGCTGAAAATAGAGTACTGAATCTGGCTCTAAAGAAGAAACCTTGCTGGGATGGCAAAATATATAAAGTAATATAATTGCCCTGCTTCCATCTGGCATTTTGTATGTGTTTCCTAAAGGCCCTGAGATCAGGCTAGTC